AGTGAACGCGATAACGCGAGACTTATAACTTTCTAAAGGGTTAAGGTTTGTTAACAGTAACTACTAAACCTTTTTTTTTGTAATTCTTTAAAAGTTACCAAAAATACTCGTGTACTAACGTGACAAATATGGTCATTATGTAATAAAAAAAATTTTCTGCTTACTACATCGTTACTAAGTGAAACTAAAAGCGTCTATACACGATTGTGTGAAATTTAATTAATTACATTGCTAATCAGAAGAGTTTTAACATAGTGCGGAGTTTAATTTATACTAAATAGTCAGCACGTACAGAAAATGTTGATTTCAGTAAAGGAAATCTTATCAATAATGCAGAGAAACTAAAATAGATATACAAAAAAATGAATGGTTATAGTTCTAATTTTTCCTTTCATCATATACGATTATCTTATAATTCTGAAACAAATAAATAAAACGTAACTATCAGGTAATGAAATTAGACGAAATTTATTAAAATATAGTTGTTGAGTTGCTGTTGAAGCTCTGAGGTGAATTGTGTTTGCTAAGTTATGTGCTATTTACAATAATTCAGTTAACTTTGGGGAGAGATTAGTTGTTTATTTTAGCTGATTGGCTGTAGTTGTCCGAGGCCTTTTTTGTGCCTGACTTATCACAAATACAACCTTTCTCCTCAATTTTATTTTTATGTATTTCCTCACGGCAACACTAGAACAAGGCCCTCTGCGGATGTTATGAACTCTACGATATTCCCCGAGAGCTGCATCAACAATGCATCCTTTGATATAATAACGTTACATTAGTTCACCTCTCATGTTGGTTGAATGAGCTGCACTGCGATCGAAAGGCCTATTCATACCTAAGGGAAATATTCGAAAGAAAGTGGCGCCCGTGGTGACAACGTATGACAAATGTAGCATTTACATTCATATAATAACCTTAATGCCCCTGAGCATTTTCACCTTTCTATGCCGACTCTGAGAAAAAATATAATACTAACAGGCATAAATAGAAGTATATATATATATATATATAATGCCAATACAAATGTTTGGTAATTACGTAACACCTTATTCGTTACCACGCTGGAAATAATAGCCTTTACAGTTGTAAACAATACTATCCAAATAATAGTATTTGAATTACTTAGTTTCAAGCGTAGAGTAATAAAGTTAAAAGTGTTTAAATTATTTAATAGATTATATGCTAATCTATGTTAAACAGACATGTAAAAAACATTTTAAAAATTTGATCTACTTATTCTAAAGAGCTACATACACGATTGTTTTTATTTCACCTCCAAATGCTCATCTGCAGGTCGCCGAACATGCTCGCCCTTTTAGCCGTAGAGGCGCTAAAATGTGATGGTTAGTCTCCCTATTCGTTGGTAAAAGAGAAGTCTAAGAGTTGGCGGTGGGTGGTGTTGACTAGCTTCCTTCCCTGTAGTCTGTCACTGCTAATTAGAAACGACTAACACAGATAGCCTTCGAGTAGCTTTGCGCAACATTCAACAATCAAACTAAACCAAATACTTACATTTCCTTATGCTTTTTTCTCTCTCTCACTGTAATCTTCTTTCTTGATTTAGTAATGACAAATAAGTACTTTATTTTAATAATTTCATTATATTATTTTAATATTCGCTTTAAGTCGTAACGGCTCACGATGTACTAATTTATTCATTAAAATGGTTAAGTGCCTTAATAGTAAAGGGTCCGAGATGATTTTATGCAAATTCTGTCGTTCAGTTATATCCTCAGGTTGTCTTTATTAAGCAAGTTGCTGGTTACTGCAGTCTGTTGGGTTATGAAGATACATTATTGTTAACAGACTTTGTATTAAACGACAAAAAACAAACAAACATGGTTACTGCTTTGATAGTAGTAACCAAGGCTAAAAAAGTTAGATACTTATTTTCTAATTATATTTGTACAAACTAATATTACAAAATTTATCTAACGAAGTTTGATTTTCAATAAAAGACAAAGTCTGAATATGTGGCGTTTTTGTTGATATGGGAGAACCTGTCAGCCACTATAAAATATTTGGTGTTATCTAATTTCAAAGATCTAGATAATTTAGATAATTTGGATACTAATCTCAAAAATATGTCAATTTTAAATCTTATATTATTTCATTGCATCGCAAATGGGAAACAAGTGAACATTCGTTCACTTGTTTGTTTAATTTTGCTCAAAGCTAACGAAGGTTACCACCGCTAGCCATTCCTAATTTTGAAGTAATAGACTACAGGGGAAACAATTAGTCACTGCCAACATTTGGGTTTACTTTTGTCAGACTGAATAGTAGAATTTGACCGTCACTCTTATAACGTCCTTTCAACCGTGGGGGCGTTATAATGTGCGGTCAATCCCACTATTCGTTGGTATAAGAGTAGCCCAAGAGTTGGCTTACACTACTAAATTAGGGACGGCTAGCGCAGATAGCCCTCGTGTAGCTTTGCGCGAAATTCAAAACAAACAAACATTTTAGTTTACGTCAGAACCATCTCAGGCGAGGCCATCTGGTGGTTGAAATTAATAATATTATTTCGTTCTTTTCGTTCAGTCAACCTTTTCGGTTTTGGCAGTTATAGTAGTATTTCAAATTGTTTACTCCAAAACCTTGTTACCGTTAGGAATTTGTTTGGTTTGTAGAGGAGTTGCACTATGTTTGTGATATGTGCTTTCATAATTTTTACATTCTCTATAACTTTAGTAAGACCAATTAATAAATTTATTTTATTTTAATTATTAGATTCAAATCTGTTTCATTATGGGTCAAGTGACGAAGCATTTCATTACTTTTTCTTTTAGGTTCTGAGCTTCTGCAGAAACATTTCCTATTTTAAAGAGGAGACAAATGGCAAATACAATGATCTGACAAAATTGGAACTACTACAGAACGCAAATTATGATTATTGAAGTGTTTAATAATCGTTGATGATGTAGTTTGCTTTACATAAAAATTGATATTGTTAAATTTCGAAAAAATCATTCCAAGAGCAAAATGAATAAGAAAATATGGATCTAGAAACTCCGATCTGCTATTGAAGAAAAAAATTTCCCGCATTTTACTAACTTCTTTCTTCTAAATGGAAGCTTTGAGTGGATGCTGTTTGGAAAATCATATTTAAAATACAACTGAAGCCCTCTCTACTTACGTTCCAATATAATATTGCCCGTATTTCAATCCATTTGTGCAATAAAAAGATACAGCCAGGGGTGTGTACGATTAATGAATAATTTTTCCATTTTATCTTCAGAAATGTCTTCTTTGAAAGAAGAACAAACAACAGAACTTACAAATGCGTCATTTGTGAATTTTTCACCCATAGAGAACATCACGGTTGGGGATACACAACGTGACGAGACTATAGCTCGAGTAGAAGTCGGAGTCTTAGCCATAATCTTCATACTGACCATCATAGGAAATACTTGTGTCTTGGTGGCGCTAGCCGTGAGACGCACCAATATGACTCGAATGTATTACTTTCTTTTACATTTGTGTATCTCGGACCTTATCACCGCATTTTTCCATGTCTTACCACAACTTGCCTGGGACGCTGCACATCGATTTTATGGAGGGAACGTATTATGCAAGGTAGTCAAGTACTTGCAGATCCTGGGTCCCTATTTATCATCCTATGTCTTGATGGTAACTGCCATAGACCGTTATCAAGCTATTTGTTTTCCTTTGACAAGATGTACTTGGACTCCTCGTAGATCCAAGCTAATGATTGTTGGAGCTTGGATCATCTCCATACTTTGTTGTTCACCGCAAGCTTTTATTTTCTCTTACCAACAAGTTTCGTCTGACCCCCTTGTTTTCGATTGTTGGGGAACATTCATCCAGCCATGGGGCGAAAAGGTCTACGTTCTTTGGTATACCATATCTCAATTCTTTATTCCTCTTCTTGTAATTACGTTCACATACGTTAATGTCACGAAAACTGTGTGGAATAATTATTATCTGAGAAAAAAGAATTTCATGCTACAAACTTCAACCTATAATTCAGGACAGAGCAGAGAAGATTCAGGGCCTTCCATACGTCCAGTAATACTGCTTGTAGGACGATCCTACCGCTTCAAGGGACGTGGTCAAGTAGAAATATGTCATCTTGACGATTTGTCTACCATCAGAACAAATTGTCATGAAAACATTTCTGAGCCTAGAAGTCACTGTCGCTCAGTGCCAGACTTGTCGCGTGCTAAGGTCAAGACTATTAGGATTACTATAGTAGTGATTGCTTGTTACATTATTTGTTCAACACCGTTTCTTGCAGTACAGCTCTGGGCTTACTGGAGCCCGTATGCTCAGAATTCACCAATATGGAAAGGTTAGTCTTAGTTTCGTAGTTATCAGCTGTAATAATAATGCTCACATTCCATGGGCCCGGCATGGCCAGGTAGTTAGGGCGCTCGACTCGCAATCTGCGGGTCGCGGGTTCGAATCCCTGTCACACCAAACATGCTCGCCCTTTCAGCCGTGGGGGCGTTATAAAGTGCGGTCAATCCCACTATTCGTTGGTAAAAGAGTAGCCCAAGAGTTGGCGGTGGGGGTGATGACTAGCAGCCTTCCCTCTAGTCTTACACTGCTAAATTAGGGGCGCTAGCGCAGATAGCCCTCGTGTAGC